AGAGCCCCATTACACATCATCAAGTTTGAGAGAAAATATAGAGTTCTTCCGTCACTTGACTTTGGCACAAGAGTGAAAATAAACAGTATTACGATCGCCATAAATCAACCAGCTACTCCGAGATTTTTGAAACCACAAGCTATCCCCTTGCTCAAGGACTATCTCCAAATCATCCTTAAGTTTCTGCTCCAACTTTTGGAGCGAAGGGTGGGTCACGATTGGCAAGGGCACAATCAACTTCTCGAAGACGAGGGAGTAATTGCCTTTTGCGTTTACCAAATCTTCCCAAAGACATTAGAATTCCACTCCACCAAAGAGGAGCATAGAGAACTAAGATTAGTTTGAATATCTACGTTATCATCCCAAGAATTCCGAAGCACAGTAGCAAAATTGGAAGCTCCTGCCAAGCAAATAAAAAACAGAAAAATTATGTTTGTTCGATGAGGTGGTGCACTTGTGCGGAACATAATGGGTCGATGATCACAACCGAGGTGATCCAAATGAAGCACATGTGAGTCGGGAAAAGCAGAAATCTAACTCTCATTAAATAAACAACGGTCTAACCGTTGGCGAAGCGCACCTCTCATCCAAGTAAATGATGGACCACGGAAACCAACATCAATCAAACTATTATCAAACATGAAATCCATGAAACCTTTACTTACACCAGATCGTCCGATAGCCCCTCCAATCCTTTCATCATCATTCAGCAAAGCATGAAAATCACCCCAAAGTATCCAAGGGCAATTACTTCCAGGACTGAGAGAAGCCAACTGAGGCCATAAATCCTTTTGACTGGAGACATGTGGGCTACCATAAACTACCATTACAAATACAGGAATGGGCAAAGTATCAGATTCAACTGCAAAGTGGATGAACTGTTTTGATATAGAGATAATAGAATTTTGAATATCAGCCTGCCACAAAAGCCAGATCCCATCGCTAAAGCCTTGAGCTTTAATGCGGAAAGAACTAGGAAAACCCATTTTTTTAATGACTTCATCTGCTTTACGGCCACTCACTCTTGTTTCTAGAAGACTGACAATCGAGGGCTTATAGATCATCATAAAATTCTTGTAGTGTCGTAAATAAGAGGGGCTAGCCACACCTTGACTGTTCCAAAAGAGGAAACTAAACATTAGGGAAATAGATGAAAGGAGGAGAAAACTACTGACCAAAGCCTTCAGCACCTTATTCCTCCTCGCAAGCAGTGATCGTTTTTTCCTGTAAGTCCACAACCGAACAATGATCTCGACTACAACCCTCCGAATTTTACCCATGAAAAGTTACTGCATCTGCTTTGGATATCGCCAACTGAACCCAATCAGCAAGCAGCAGACTGTGTGGGGGTTTGTAATGCAGTTGCTTCTTAACGCAGAGGCTTTTTACTTTTTAGTCCTGTTTCATGACTGCCCTTATTCGCGCCATAGCGCAATTGACCATTTTTACCTCGAGCCGTGCTGACCTTGCTGTTACTCAATAAATGACACAACCACGTGATGGCCATCACGAATATTAGGTGCCGTGATAGAGAACATTGATGGGTTGCTCGCAAAGTTCAAGATATTCGTCAAAGGCGACGGGTGAGTAATCTCGGTATACCGGTTGTTACCTACTACGAGGCCATACCATTAGTTCTGTCGTTTACCTACTGTTGAACCTCTGACAATCTATTAGAGTTAATATGCACCGGCTGTTGTGAACTAGAAGATGACTTGCTTGACTTTTTGCCCTTAATCCTATCCATCCCACCTGAAGTATGCCCAATAATTTCCGTGGATGGGCTCTCTGCCATCTCATGCAATACCTGCTCAGGATTAATAGGTGTCTCATTAATATCCAACCCTTCTCGCTCTAGGATATTAAACTTGTTTATACGAGTAGGGTCTGGTGCAGTAGTACCGGCCTGGGTTTCTTTATTAGATTTTTGTGCTCTTCTTTTCCTAGACGGGGTAACCATTCAGGGGCCAAAAAGGTCATCATTATGGTTCGAGGGTTGATGGCCGTGGGTTTATTTAGCAACGAAATCAGCATTATTCACCTCCTCGACTTGTTGTTTAGAAGTACACGCTTCCTTTGAATGGTCGTAGACTCCACAAAGGAAGCAAATATTTTCTAAGCCTTCATTTTCAATTCTTTGGACAAAGCCGTAAATACCTATGCATGGTAGGAAAGGTTTCTTGAGGTCTATCGCTACCGCCATCCTAGCAAATTTACCTCACCCCCTGACCGAGGTGTTGTAATCTATCTTGATAATCTTGCCAATTTCAGAGGCTATCAAGCGAAACAAGAACTTGCAGTAGTAACGGTACGGTAAGCCTGGAAGTCAGAGCCAAACAATCATTTGAGATGGGTAAGCATTCGCAGTGGAGAACATGCCGATTCCATGGCTGTACAGTGAGATAACTCCAAAATATCACTCATGACCCCTCTGCCAACGCCCTCGTATAGTCACTCTCCTTCTCTAGCCGAACAAGAAAGTAGTTATTATCTAAATCGATGAGTTGAAAAGAACCCTGTGGTTTCCATAGCACTTTGATCTTGTTCCATAGCTGCTCTATATCCGATGGTACAATCTAGAAGGAGAACAATGACAGTTTTGCGCATGTTAAAGTCGGCCGCTTCGTGCACCCTATCATATAACCAGACCATTGGGTAAGCACCACTCATATCTACTTGAATATCGCTCTCAAGAACTTCCACATCAGGCTAACCAAAACAAAATTTAGTCGCTTTCTCCCCCATCTGTACGCCCATAAGGGCCGCCGCAAAGGACACAGGCTGCCCCTCCAATTGGTTTGCAGACTCAGTACCCAGGGTAGTATCTGTTTGATCATCCATATTAATGTCAACCGTAACTAACTCGGGAGTCAACGCAGGTGAAACGTGAATGGCCTCTGGCAGCTCTTCGCTACGCACTTTCTTGACTGCTCTGGTGCCCTCCGACAGTGAGGGGATCCCGATCTCTCTAGGATAGGGAAGGGTAGGACCAGGATTTCAAAAAAGGTATGCGACCGCGATTTCGGCCACAATACAGTGGTTTCGTCGTTGTCCGAGTTACACGACCAACAACCGTAATCACGGTAAATTTGAAATAACCGAAAACGTAACCCACGATTGCGATTTGACACCCTGAGTAGACTGCCTGCAAGGCCGACGCCTTGGGATCCATCTCTCTCAAGGCCTAACGTAACGAAGAAGAGAACCGGAATATCCGGAGCAAAAATTCTATTCACTATATACTCTTTATAATCATCTTATATTGATGAAATAAATGATTTGTGTGTGTGTTTTTTTAATTTTATTAAAAAAATAAGATAATTCTATTGAACGACAATTAATTAAGGTTAAAAAATAACGATGTTGGGCGCAATTGAAAATACGATAAAAACATAATATTTTAATAAAACATAACCTAAAATGTTACATTTTTTAAATGTTTTTGATTGAACTTAAAATATCTATAAAGAAATAAAGAAAATTGTATCAAATCTAAAATATTATACTTTTTACTACATTTTATATTTAAAAAATGGCTTTCAAAATTCTTGGACAGTTATGCGGTGCGACGCTTTAGTATACGGTTAAAATAAAATATTATCGGTTTTGTTATTATTTTAGATAACAAAATTGGTAAAAAAATGATCGAAAATATTATTATTTTTATTGATTATAATAACCTATATAGGTAAACGCGGAAGAAAAAAACTTATTTTTTAACCAGATTTTTTCTACCGTATTTACCTATATAAATAATTATAATCGATAAAAATAATAATATTTTTAATATTTTTTTTATCAATTTTATTATTTAAAATAATAACAAAATCGGTAACAACTTATTTTAGCATTATACTAAATCACCACCTTTTTCATTTTATAACCTGGCGGCTAATTGTGTTTCCCTCCCTTTTACATTTTATAATCCGGCGGCTAATTCCATACGCTACCCATTTCTTTTGCATTATTATAATAAAACAATTCTAATATATAAATTTTGAGATATTTACTGAGGATAATTATTTAATATATTTGTAGTAAGGTAAGTAAAATTCAATTTAATTTAGAAAAATATTTTCATTTTCATTTATTGGAGTTTTTTTTTTTTTAGATTTAGAGTTCGAGTCGATTTTAAATTTATAAAATTCAGATAATCAATAAGATAAAAAAATATAATTTTTAACTAAGTTATTTGATTCAAAGTTTGATTTTTAATTAAATTTAAACTAAATACTCCTTTCTATTCATATTTTTCACTAAGAATACCTTTTTTTTAATTTTGTTCATTAGTTTTATGTTTTATTCAATTTTAACAATTTAGTGACTTAACTGATAAAATTCATAGTTTAGTGACCCATAGAGTAATTTCTCAATTTTTTAGTAAAACAAAAAAAGTTAGGCTAAAGTATACAAATGTCCCCTTACTATAGGATATTACTTTATTAAATCAGTCGACTATTAAAAGTTACAAAATGATATTTCGATTATAAGACGTTGCTTTATTAAGTCCCTCTACTATTAAAAGTTACAAAATAATCATCCGACTATTCATTATGTTCAAAAGTCTTCTTTTTTTGTTAAAAAAAATGACAGTTGTCTAAGTTGAACTTTAACATGATAACTGAGATATGATAGTCATTTGAGATTCCATGATCAAATTTTATCATATCACAGTCAACAAGTTAAAGTTCAGCTCAGAGTACCATCAATTTTTTAACAGAAAAAGATGATTTTGGAATGTAATGAATAGTCGGGTGACTATTTTATAACTGTTAATAGTCAAGGGACTCAATAAAATAACACTCTATAGTCAGATGACCATCTATATACTTTACCCAAAACGTTATCATAATGCCTGTTACTAACATAGGTTCTTACGTAATGGCTGTCAAATTTCCGCAGTTTTTTAATGTTTCGCGCTCTCTCGATCTCCCCTTTCCACCCACTATATTACAGTACCGAAACCTTCCTTCCCCATCACCACAAATTCCTTGAAGTTCAGTGATACATAAAAAATGGCGACCCTCAAAGTCGGGAGGATCAAGTTGGGTTCTCAGGGCCTCGAAGTGTCAGCTCAAGGCATCGGTTGCATGGGGATGTCCGCCGTGTACGGTTCCCCAAAGCCGGAATCCGACATAATTGCGCTCATCCACCACGCCGTCGATTCCGGGGTCACCCTTCTCGACACCTCCGATGTTTACGGCCCTCACACCAACGAAATCCTCCTCGGGAAGGCGTTGAAAGACCGCGGTGTTCGAGAAAGGGTTGAATTGGCCACAAAGTTCGGTATATATTATACCGATGGCGGCGAAGCGGACATCCGCGGTGACCCTGCTTATGTTCGAGCTGCTTGTGAAGGTAGCTTGAAACGACTCGGTGTTGATTGCATCGATCTTTATTATCAGCATCGGATTGATACCAGGGTCCCCATTGAAGTCACGGTTTGTGTTTTGTTTATACGTTTTCTTGATGATGATGTTGTTCATAAAGTGTTTGTGTTAATGCCGCAGTAAAATGGTTTTTTTTTTACCCAGATTGGGGAAGTTAAGAAGCTAGTTGAAGAAGGTAAAGTCAAGTACGTAGGTTTGTCTGAGGCGTCGGCTTCGACGATTCGGAGGGCGCATGCTGTGCATCCTATAAGTGCTGTGCAGTTAGAATGGTCTTTGTGGTCCAGAGATGTTGAAGCTGACATTATTCCAACTTGCAGGTTTGTTTGTTCATAAGATTTGAACAAATTTTAAATGGAAAAAAAGTGTGGGAGTTCTTTACTTTGATGTGATTTCTCTTCTTTTTTTCAGGGAACTTGGGATTGGGATTGTTGCTTACAGTCCCCTTGGGAGAGGGTTCTTTGCATTAGGGCCTAAAATTGTGGATACTTTGTCCAATGACGACTTCAGGAAGGTTTGTAGCTTCTCTTTCACAGTCTACTGAATAAAAGGATAGTTGACATCATCTGAACATCGCTTGTGGAATTTTTTTTCCTTTGACAGCGTATCAAATAATAATTCAAAATCTAATGATGCAACTGCACAAAAACATGATAAAAAAAAGTCCATTTTTTTGTTTACACAATCCAAAACTGAAAAAAAATGTTTTTTTTTCAGTTTCAGCTTTTTACTGATATTCTTATTCTGGGATCAATTTATATAGTTATATTGTTGGATCAACCAATTGTTGGTTGAACTAGTTGACTCGATTAGTACGTTGAATTTTAAATCCATGTGAATGACTCTTATCTAAAGTTTTGCAAGACTGCAAGTACCTCTTGTGGTTCATAGCATCACTTGAGGATAAAAGAACTTTTTCTTTAGTTGGATCATCGTTAAACAAAATTAGGTCCATTCTAGCAACAATCGCATGTGTTAAGTTATCAAATAGTTGCCGAATTGAATCATGAAATAGCCTGGTATTTTGTTGTCTTTACTTTAATGACACAATAATTTGAATAAAAATCTGCAAAAAAAAATTACACAGAATCTACCAAGGTTCCGGCCTGAAAATATGGAGCATAACCGACGCCTTTACGATCGAGTTAATGAGATAGCAGCAAAGAAAGGGTGCACCCCACCACAGCTTGCATTGGCTTGGGTCCATCACCAAGGGAATGATGTCTGCCCCATTCCTGGAACCACCAAAATCGAAAACTTCAACCAGAACATCGGAGCTTTGTCGGTAAAATTAACACCCGAAGAGATGTCCGAGCTCAAATCCTTTGCTTCAGCAGATTCTGTAAAAGGAGAAAGATATGGTTTAGTCCGTGCTACCTACAATGAATCTGAAACTCCTTCATTGTCTTCAAGGAAACCCTGAATGAGTACACTTCTTGCCACCACCATATTTGATGAAATCTTCATGATGAGGTATGGTCTTAAACTTAAACGTAATGCCCTGGATATGTGTTTCGGAACCACCATGATCGAGTCTCTATGTTGTTTCCAGAGAATAAGATTATGTCAAAAGTATCAATAGGTCTGCTGTTGTGATGATAGTTTGCTAAGTTTGTCATGTTTAGATTGTGTACTCCAGGGATAATGAAGCAAAAGTTTCTGAAACAAGCAATTTAAGTATATATTTCGGATGGTAATGTCGATGTCAGCACATATATTGCTTCATTAGGGATTGAATCTGTGGTACCCGAGCTCGTTATTTTTCTTCTGAAATCCAGGCTAAGAGTACGCTTGAACAAAATTTGAATGTGCTATGTTCAAAGATCTACATGTTTGCCCTAATCTATTCTGAAATGCATGGATTAAGAAAAAAGATCCGATCAGTTGAGTGGGCCAGTTTAATCTAGAACCGGTGGCATGTCCGGTCTGATTACCTATCATTAATGAACTAATACAAAACTGGTTTAATTGGTAATTTTAGTTAAAAGATCGGATTGAACTAATTAAAAACCGATTCTATACATTCTAAAATATTATTTGTATTTAATGATATTTGTAGTTTTAATTGTTTGATTATATATCTGATCGATTTAACTTCTGATTCGAGTTTTTTTTCCTTACATTGCTGAAATAACATGTTTTGTTTATGGAAATGAAGGAAAAAGATGTGGAATAATTCACCACATTGAAAAAAGTTGACTGAAAGTGGGGTTATTAGCTCCGCACATGACTCAATGAGTCACTTAAACACCATGACTGCATTCCTCTGCTAGATAAGCTAAAAAAAGGGACCCTAAACTTATAAAAAACTCCATTGCTGAACCTGTTGAAGTCTTGAAGCTACTGTTAACAGAAAGAAGAAAATGGAAACAAAGTTAGGAGAATATAGCTAGGAACCCAAGGCCTGGAAGTGTTGGCTGACGGTCTAGGTTGCTTATGGTCCACACAGTGATGGTCTTTGTGTGGCTAGAGATGTTGAGGAAGAAATAGTTCTTGCTTGCAGGTTAGCCATTGATTATAGGATTATAAGCAATGTTGCTCGTACTCTTCGTAAATACTCTGTCCGACATTCGTATCCAATTTAGGTATGGGAATAGACAGGAAACATGGGGAAAAATGAACAATCCCACGTTCTCTATATACTTAAACCCGACATTCAGACCCGAGTTCGAGTAACTTAGATTATAAGACCAACAATGGTTTTGGATATGGATAATTAGAAATTTCAAAATTTTACAATGACTCGTTGCTTTTTCATTTTATCAGGGAACTTGGTATTGGTATTGCTGCTTATAGTTGTTTGCGGAGAGGGGTCATGTTGAATCATGTTTTATAATATTTTGATATAACAAATTTAAGGCAAAATGTTTTTGGACTTGAATTGAATTTGTTCAAAGTTTTCAAAAATAATTCAAAGTCCATTAAATTAGAATTTGATCACAAAATGTTTTTCTGGGTAAATAGTACCGATATTGTTCTTACAATATCGATACTGCATGAACAATACTGATATTGTTCACGTGGTACCGATACCAAAGGTAAGAAAAGTATCGATACTCTCAAGGTAATATCGATACTACCAGTTTGCTCAAATTCCAGAATACAAAATAGGTACTGATACCTAAATGGGTACCGATACTACTTAACACAGTAGTATCGATACCATGATCATAGTATCGATACCGATTCCAGCCCAACGGCTAGTTGATTTAAAAATAACAAAGGAAGTACTGATACTCATTAAAGGAGTACCAATACTCCCTGTCTTGGACAGTTGTATTTTGCAGAGAATTTTATCCCTAACGGCTCTAAATCATCCCAACGGCTAGAAACGGTCACAAACACATTCTAACATATAAAAACAAGTTGAGGACACTTGAAGAAGGGTTAGAAAACCTATCTAAGAAATCAAATACAAGAGAAGAGTTTTTCATTCATATTTTACTTTCTCTTGTAAATATTTTTGTTCTTGTGAGTTTAATTCTTTGTAAACACCTACCTTAGAGAAGTTTTCTTGTTTACATTTTTTACCTTTGTAAAAGGGGAGTGATTCTAGTTAACCCTGCTAAAAGCTAAGGATTTGTAAATGTTATCTTTTGATCCTGTGGAAAAAAAAGAACAAATTAGTGAATTCGTTAGAAAATCCTGGGTGAGAAGGTAAGGTCGATGAGGTATACTTAGTTGAAGAAGTCGAACCACAATAAATATTTGTGCATCAATTTTCTCATCCTTTAAATCTCCTTAATCCCTAAACTATTCTCAAATCCACTTCAACCCCTCTTGGAAAATCTTCGGTTGTCAATTTGAGCTTCATTTTCCAATCCCAACAGTTCCTTTCTTCATGGCCTAAACTGGTGCAAACTTTTTTCCGAAGATGACTTCAGAAAGGTTCGTTCTATCCTGTAACATCCTTAAGAATGTCCTGAAACAGTTTGTTTATGTTAAATGCTTTGGCATATCAAGTTTTGATAGACTCTTGATGTATCAATGATTCAATGCATGATTTTCTTCTGTGATAAAACGTCGTAAAGGTGTTTCCCATGAACCAGTGAGTATCGAATTCGGTCTGTCCGTGTTCTAAGTAGGGGATATCTTGATTTTCTGGTACATGTTTCTAAATTCCTTTCTTTCAATGATAATGCCAATTTCTATCGATTTCTGCAGTTACTTCCAAGGTTCAAACCCGAAAACCTTGAGCACAAACACCTATTCGAGCAGGTCGTTGAGATGGCTAAGAGAAAAGGGTGCAGCCCATCACAGCTTGCTTTAGCCTGTGTTCATCATCAGCGGGACGATGTGTGTCCAATACCAGGGACTACCAGGATTGAAAACCTTAATGATAATAAAAGGGCCTTGTCCACTAACACCGGCAGAGATGGGCGAACTCGACTCCATTGCTTCACCAGATGCTGTAAAAGGAGACAGGTACGCTGAAACTGTCCATATGTATTTTAAGGGTTCTTGAAGAGTTTGTGTTCTAATACTCATGTCCGAATATATGTCGAGCGCTAGTATCAAATACGGATCGTTCGAGAAAAATTAAGAGTCGAAACAATACAGTGAACCACATACTGACTTAATTGCACTACTGTGTTTTCGGACACACTCGTATCCGGCACACCAAAATCCGACTAACAGAGCCAATGAACCATAAAATCTATCTTTCTCATGCACCCCGGTAGTTCCAACCGCACATACACAGATGATCAACCAAATCCATTTATACAAACAAACAAAAAATCAATCAAAGAAAAGAAAATAAACAAGAAGAGATCACATAGCTGGATATCTTGAGTAATTATTAGATGATAATTTTCAAGTATTGGTGGGGAGTGGAGTTTTTAAGCAAGTATGAATCAATGCTCAAATCCTAACCACTGTGCTATTGCCCCGGACCCCCAAAGCCTAACCACTTCTTCAATTCAAGCCCATAATTATTAATCTAAGAGAGAATTTATCATTTAGTCCTTGAACTTGGTAATTTTTCATTTTGGTCCCTAAACTTCTTTCGGGCCCACATTAGTCCCTCAACTTGGCAATTTTTTTCAACTTGTTGCATGATTTTTTTAATGCACATTAGTCTCGGAACATGGTAAATTTTCCCAACTTGGTCCCTAAACTTAGATTTCATTAATGACTAAAATGTCCGATGGAATCCTAGTTAGAACTAAGTTGAAAAATGTTGTCAATTTCAGGACTAATATGAACAAAAAAACAGGGATCAGATAAAAAACTAAATATGAGGACTAAATATTACTTTGTCCCTTAATCTGATTCAAACTTTGAATTATCATCCCTTCTGTTCCAACTGCCTTCCATGTCAGGTGTTATGTCATAAATGAATGCAAATTTATTTTCCTCATCCCAACCAAGGCATGTTGATGGACATAGAAACAAAAATAATAGTAATCACCAATAGAATCCATAAATTCTTTGTTAAAATCATAGAAATTTGGTGCAATTTCAACCCCACAAAACCAACTTTGAATGTGAAGTTTCTTCCTTCTTTACTTCATACACTATGCATGCATATATGTATATATATATTAAATGCTTTCCTTGGAGATAGCCTCATAGGGGAGAAAAGAAAGAAAAATGTCAGCTGCTGTTGGAATTTTCTCAGCATCCAAACAAAATGGTTTCATGAAAAATGAAAGAAACAACAATAATAATGATAGAGAAGCAAAGAACAATGCTGATCACCATGAAGATGATGAGAATGAGGTTGATGAAGAAGATGATTGCGTTGTGAAACCTGACAAGGAACTGGATCTTGGTCCTCTGTTGTCACTCAAAGAGCAACTTGAAAAGGACAAGGTATATATATATATATATATATATGCATGCATGTATGTATGCACGTGTTATGTATCATGTATGTATTTGTTACCTATATGTATTTGTGTATGTATGTATTTGAATGAAGCTAAAGAACTTCCTTTTTTTTTCTATTTCTTGATTTCCAAGGATGATGAAAGTCTGAGGAAATGGAAGGAGAAGCTTCTTGGGAGTGTTGATATGTCTGCAGTTGGAGGTAACAAATTTTTTTCCTCGAATTATTGTGAGTGTGATAAAATCTAATTCTTTTTTAAATATTTGAATTTGAGATTAGGATTCGATACATACGTAGACACCCGCTCCTTAATAATGAAAGAACATAAAAAATTGGTTAAACATATTCGAATCGAATATATATCAATATCCAAGACTCATCCAGTAACATAAATCATAGATTTTAGTCAAAAAAATGGAAATTAACCAAATTTATGCAATGAAAGCAGAGACTGAGGAGCCAGAAGTTAAGATAGAAAGCCTCTCCATCATGTGTAGGGGCCGAGCAGATATTGTTTTGCCTATTCCATTTGCTTCAAAGCCAAAGAGCAGTCTTTTTGTACTAAGGGAAGGAAGCCGATATCGCCTCAAATTCTCCTTCACCGTCTCTGACAACGTCGTCTCCGGTCTTAAATACACCAACACTGTCTGGAAGTCTGGAGTTAGGTAAGTATCAGATACGAATATATTTTATTATCCTCGTATTTATATTTAAAAATATGAACTCATGAGTCATGAACATACTAGTAACTCGATGCAAATAAGTCATAACATGATATTATAATCGTTATTTTATGAATTCAGTTGAGATAGCATTCGTTATGTTCGTAACTAAAATCATGTTCGTGACTATAATTTGAATTTTTGACAGTGGAGAAGACGAAAGTGGTGTTGGGAACATTTAGTCCTCAAAAGGAACCTTACACTTGTGAATTGGAAGGAGAAGCTACCCCTTCGGGCTTCTTTGCTAGAGGCTCATACTCTGCAAGAACCAAGGTAAATTATTATTATTATTATTTTACTAATAATATAATATCAATAAAAAAAATATTTTTATTATTAAAATATAATCTGTTTATGCAGTTCGTTTGTAGATGATGATGACAAAGCATATTTTAACATAAATTTTATTTTACTTTTCAAACATATAATACTATATATTGGTTTAATGATTCTATTCACTGATTAGTATATACATATAGTTTGGAATAAAATTGGAATGATCAAAAAGTTTGGGTACTAATTTAGAATGGATGTCATAGTTTGAGGATAAAAATGAAATGTTCAAAAGTTTGAGAACTGAATTAAAATGATAGTCATAATTTACATATGAAATTGGAGCATTTTTTGATATTATATTTTTTTTAAATCATACCTAACATTTTGTTTTGGTTATGTTTTTGTTACTCCCGTCAAATAAAAATTAACAATGATGTAATGCCACGTTAGCATTGAATAATAGAAAATACTATATCAGAATCATCGCTAATTCTTTAATGATGTGTGACCGAAACAAAATCAGAACTTAACATTAATAATTATTCTGAAAAAATAATAATTAAATGACCGAAACATACATTAAATAATAAGTGAGGGATCAAATAGGTAGTTTACCCTAAAATACATAGCTGTCAAGATAAGCGATGTTCCTCTCCACGTATGAAAAACCTGCCCACAGATGTATAACTTCTAAATTTCCAAGTAATCAAATTGGAAAAATAGAAAACATCTCGTGTTCTATATTCACTGTATTTTACTGCCCACAGATTTTTACTTCTCATTTTCCATCCCTTTCTCACTGACCAAACAGAGTGCCATTTTCATTCAGTTCAATTAAAGCACCATAACAATCGTTAATCACTAAAACTGAACTTTAAGAACTGTATTCTCTGCATCTTCCCTTCAGTTTTTAAACCCAAACTTCTCACTTCCCATCCCATTCTCAGAGGCCAAACAAAAAATAGTAAAAAAACTGAACTTTAAAGACTATATATTCAGTGTATTTTCTCCAATCATAACCTTGTTTTCCATCATTTTCTCAGAGACCAAACAAGGTTTCATTTTCATTAAGCATAAAAATAAATCATTAAAAGACACATTCCAAATTTAGTAAAAATCTGAACTTTAAGGATTGCATAATCCGAAAAACACAGAGACAGAGCGAAAAGGAACGATTAGATCTCGAAGAATTTGCAAATGGCAAGTAAGGCCCCAAGTCTCCGGTGGTGGTGATAAGTCTCAACAGTAAGCGTTGTATGAGTTTTGGTGGGGGGGGGGGGGAAACAACCATCCGACGGCGGCGGAGAGAGAATTGACAACAAGAACAACAATGCCTGGTTCGTTTGCAGCGCTGGGTTTCGATCAAAATCGATTTTTTGTTGGAATTGTTGATGGAGAATTGCCATCTCAACGTGATTTTGCAGTCTAAATTCAGGGTTAGTGCATTCTCCATAAAATTTCTAAAAAAAATCTCCTATGTTGCTTTCGGATTTGAAGAGTTCTATATACTATTAAGCTAAGAATTGAAAAGGAATCACCACTCGATAATGTCTAGCATAATCAAAATTCAGTTCATTGGGAGCATTTATGATCCTAATTTACATACGAACAGCACACAAACTGTGCCCAAAGTGGCCTACCTTTCACTTTCCTCTTCTCCTTTTTAATATCAGCTTCATACCTTGCCGGAGAATTCCATTCTTGCGTTGTTTCGACATCGGTCGGTTCGGCATCAGGTGATTCAGGTCCCAGAATTGAGCTAACTTTAGTAACCATGGCTACATTTGAGATCGGGGACTTTGGCTTCGTCTCATTAATGGCTTCACCAAGTAGGCTCTTGAGCGGAGTGTGTTGCTTCGCATTCCAGTTTGTTACCTTTGCTATGATCTCTTCGTTCTTCTTTCTTCCGTGTGATTCGTTTGCCGTGTGAGTGAGAGAAGGAAACCAGCCTGCTTGTAGTGGCACGGCGGTGGCGGTTTGATCGGTACCTCCGGGTTCAACCAATGTCATGAAAGATGGTGGCTCGAATTCATCGGCTTTATCGAGTTGTTCTCCTGATGCAACTGTTGGTTTCTTTCTGGTGGCTTTCTCCTGTTCCGACGACAGGTGTGAGTCGGTTATCAGCGGGTTGTCTGATCGGGTTGAAATAACTGTTCCGTGCACACAAAAGAAAAAGAAATGAACTTAGTTCTTGGAACAAAATTTTCCAACAACTACTCTATGCGACAAAATAAAGCATTTATGATGGGAGAATGCAATGAGTATCAGCCTATGTTACTCGGACTCGGGTGTGAATGTCGAATCCGAGTGTGTCTGCCATCGGTATCATCGGATCGAACGAGTTCTAAATATCGTACAAGTCCATAAACGGTTAGTTTAAGAATCTAACATACCTGAAACGGATCCCCACTGACCATCCAAGCTATCGGCTTGACTACTTGATTTCGAAACGTCACCAATGGTTGCACCAAGTTGAGGTTTAATAGAGCAATTATCGACCTCCCCTTGCAAACTTATAGTGCTAGACCCCGACATTTCTGCTCTGGACTCTCCGGTACGACTATCATCAACAGCATCAGAATTTTGAGTGGCAGGCTCGGTATCTGGATGTATCCACTCCTTGTTCAACTGGTCCAGTGAAGATTCATCAAACTCGTTTCCTCCGCTGTTCTCTACCACAGAAGCCATAACCTCGCCCACGCACTCTCCTTGTTCCTTGTCATCCCTGCTTATTTTGGATTCCTTTATGTCACCTGGACTGTTCCAAACTCTATTCGAGTGTGGACCTTCGGTTTCCGGTAAGGCTCTCGTATATTCATTACTACCTTCCTTTGTGAGAACTGGGGATTGATGATGACGGATAACCGATTCAGATTTGGAATCTTCAAGTAAGTTCAGTGCAGGGTTGGTTTGGGACACAGAAGAATCCGATATTAGCATGCTTTTCACATTATTTTTGTCATCGATTCTTCTCGTATCGTCAATTTCAGCTAAATCGATTACCCCAGTTCTTGCAGATTCAGGAACATCCATATCATCACTGCCATACACATTATTTAACTTTCTGGCCTCAACATAAACGGGCTGCTTTTCTTCAAGAGAGCAGACTTCTGAGCCTGTCTCGTTCTCAGTTGTATCAGCATCAACAAGGGACCCCAATGCATCCGACCCTTTGTCGAGCTGAATCATATCAGCTTTCCCCTCAACAAGCCCTTCTTTAACAATAGCCGGATTATTTCGGTCGAGTTTATAGATATCTTCAGCAACACGAGTACGTGAAGTATCTGCTTTGCTGTCTTCATTCAGCTTATTCAATGGGAAAGTATCGGATTTCTCATGGGAAACACGGTCTCTATCTTCATCTTTCTCGTCAACAATGATTTCTTCAGAAGCTAAGGTCTCCAATTCGGACAATTTCACCATGTTATCATCTTCCGTTTTGTCGTAGTCCTCATTTGAATCGAAAGAAGTATCAGACACTGTAACTAGTGCTGCATCAGTCAGTATTTGAGAGGTATACAAAGAAGCATCAATGTCTTTTGCAGATTCAGCTTTAGGGGAAAGATCATCAGTAACCATGCTGAGAGCCAACTCATCGCCGTTCTCTTTATCTTCAACAATTTTATCAGCCAACCGAGTATTCAAAGTTATATCATCTGTCCCCTCGGATGTTGCACAAGCTTGCTCAGAGTTCGATTCTACAACATTCATTAGGTTCTCTTCTAAATTAATCCCCAGGTTTCCGTTTTCATCAGCCTCTTGCTCAGCATTTTTATTAATGGATGTTCTACAAGCCAACCTGTCACCAACCTCTTCCTCCAATTGAACCATTACATCGTTCAAAACCGTACCTGAAGTTCCATCCGGTCTCGTTTCAGACATAGACACGGTTTCAGATATTTCACCATCTTCAGTATCAGTCTCCAGCCTAAGAGAGCATTTGACCACCTTATCACTGCTACCGACTTCCCTACTCTCCTCCGAGACATCCTGCCTAACAGAGCCTTCTGCCACCGTACCATCACCACCGAGTTTTCCTCTCTCTTCCGGGACGTCCATTAGTGGTTCCGTTTCGATTGCAATTACATCACCTGTTAAATGGCCCGACAATTAAGCATAAAAAACATGAACTTCTGAAATACAGCAAAGCTTTCCAAAGACGTGAAGCATCAAAAACACTTGATTCTCATACTAAACCCTACATTCATGCAGGACGGTAGCAAATTCGATAAGGTCGTATAACTCGAATCAACCGACAACAATTTACATCATCAAGTCTAATAATAAAAACTTACAGGTATCTTCACAGTCTTTGAAAGAAACAGTGGGAGTAAGATCATTGCCAGCAACACTGTCTTGCCTTCCCAGACCAAAACCACCCTCTTGAAACTCCATCTCCGCATCGGAAAAGACTTCATCTTCCGATCGGACGGAAATCGCTCCAACTCCACCAATATGTTTCTCCAAATTACAGCTTTCCACAACTTTAGGAACTCCAGCAACTAGATTCAGCAAAACCAACACATTTGGTTCATTAGTCCAACAAATTGTCCCCAACTAGCCCGTACGTATGTATCAAAATCAAAACTTGACCAACTAGATTCACCAATGCCGACACATTTGGTTCATTAATTCAACCTAACCAGCCATTCACAAGTGTCGAAATCAAAACTTTTCCACTTTGAAAGGGACTATTATGCAAAGAGAGGAACTTTACAGGGGGTTTTGTGACACTCTCCATAAAGTGGTTCCTCAGCTGAATTAAATAGCTTGTGACCTTCAATGGTTCCACAGATCTTCTTGTGAGAACGCCTCTGTTTTGCACTTGGATGAGGGTTTGGAAATGGCCACCCACATTTGTGACATAAATGAACTCCGTGGCTCTCGTGCCCTGCAAAAATCAAAGGTTATTCCATTAACCACCCTTAGAAACACACTTAAAATGGAAGAAAATAAAGGCAGAATGAAAGAGAAAGTTGCAGTTTCTCGAGAAACAAGAAATTTGCTTTATTTTTTTTCCAGGAAAATGAGGGAGTATGAAAAAAAGAAGAGAAACTTCAACCACCCCAGAAAATAACGAAAAAAAATGAACATAAAAATAAAAGAAGGAAAACCTGAGGAATGATTTTTCTCCGGGGTTTGAATGTCCATGACTAAAAGGACTAAGACCAATAAACAAGAGGAAAGAGATGAAGAAAAATAAACGAAGTTTCTTTCTTTTTTTCACACAAAGATAGCTGAGACCAGACAGAGAAGACTGTCTTTAATGAAGTGTGTGTCTGAAGTTGGATAATAATAGTGTGAAAAAGGGCAAAGGTTTACTTATTTTAATTAAAAAAATTACTTTTAGATAAATTATGCATTTAGTATCTAAACTATTAATTTTAGTCTGTTTTAATATTTAAATTTTTATTTTTTTAAAATCATACATAATATTTAATTTTCATTTCATTTTAGTACCTTCATTGAAAACTTAACGCGTTTAGTGCATAAACTATTAGTTTTGATCCGTTTTAATATCTAAATTTTTAATTTTTTCAAAACTTAATGTTAAATTTTAAATGGATACTAAAATGAAATAAAAACTAAATTTTTTAATAAAAAATACTAAAATAAAATAAAAACTAAACTAAACTATAGATATAATTTTAAAAAATAAAAAATTTAATATTAAAACTAATAATTTAAATACTAAACATATAATTTATCATAAAAATTTCAACGTGCAGTTTAAAAAATTGAACTTTTAATGGTGCAGTTTGTCAGTTTCGATGGTGGGACATAAGTCATAACTCGGAATGAACTCAGTAGAGGGGTGTACGGAAAGTTGATAACGTCGTTAACTGTTACCCCATGTGCGCTTGTTATCAACAAGCCTTGGTCAAGCTTTTTTTACTAGGTAAACTACACATTAGTACCCAACTATCACTTTGTTTCATTTTGGTCACTTAAATTTTTTTTCTAGGTTTAATTTTGATTTCATTTTGATCTCTACTGTTTAACAGAACATCATCATTGACATATTTAATAATTATATAAAATTAAAATTAAATTAAAATCATATATTTATGCTTAATTAGAAAATAAGTACCCAAATTATATCATTTTTTTCAAATAAGTGCCAAAACTTTTTTTCGATTCATCTAGATACCTAATGTTACAAATATTACCACTTTAGGTTCCTCAAACGTTAAATATCTTGTTAAATGACATGTGTCATGTTCCTAATCCATAAATCTCGAATTCCTAAAAATCCCTTGTTTGCAACATTAATTTCTCTTAAATTACAAAAAAACTCCGAATTCATAAAAATCCTAAATCCATAACACTAAAATACGTCGTCCTTGTCGGATTGTTCTTGCCATCTTCCTAATCAGACGTCGTCATCCTTACTATCGATTGGTCGTCGAGAACACTTGAGGTTACAATTTGTAACATCGAGGTTTGTCGAGATACACACATCGATTGACTCTTGTTTCTGTGCATGGGGTTATTGGTCGTCGAGTGAAGTTGAGACAAGTGGAGGTTTATCGACGACAAAAGATGACAGTCAACATGGGTTTAAGGGATAAAATTAGAATTTTCAAAGTTTTTGGTCTTTTTTCTAAAAAATTTCCAAAATTTTTGGGTTTTTTAAATATAATTTTGAATAAATTTTTTAAACTACCTTCCATGTATCCTTTAACGACATAATTTTACGACCGTTACGATCAAGGAACTTAAAATGATAACGTTTGTAACATTATGCATCTTGTTGAATCGAAAAAAAAACATACACCTATTTGGAGAAAGCGATATAATTAGAGTACTTATTTTCTAATTAAACCTATATCTAATTTATACTTTTATTACATTAGATGATATTACCGATTTAACCAATTGAGCCAATCGCTTAAGGGTCACACCTTTAAGAAAAATTACTTTTTTACTTCCCATTCAAATAGGATGCTGCACTTTTTATCTTACATGGAGAAATGGTGAAAAAGTTAATACAAGCAGAGGTTTAGCCTGGTATGAAATGGGGATTATCATCAAAGCTAACTAGAAAGTAAACTACTTGTTTGACGATTCTGACACCGGACGAATGTCGTGTTCTTCAACATAATCGGTAACGCTCATCGCTGTCCACTCTACATGAACAAGATTGAATTGAGATTACTTGACAAGCAAGAAACCATGAGATGAAGCTAATATGCAGTAATTTAGCAGTAGGGGATTGTTTATTAGAAATGGCAGATGGTTCAGAGAAGCTCTTTTATGGAATGCAAAGTTTAAATCACTTACTGGGATTCTGCAGTGAATGCTTAGATGGTAGTTCATTTCGCTGAGACAGGCTTTGGCTCGTTCTTCGGCACCCGAAGCTTTCTTGCATGCTTCTTTGATCTGAATCGAGAATGGTACGGATTTAACACAACTTTCTGTAGTGATAACAATATATAGCAAGTATACGGATGATAATGAAGTGAAGACAAACTTGCAAGATCGATAAACATTATGTCGTTTCGTAAAAAGGCGATAAAGATTCGTGTTACCTGATCAATGCAAATATCGGTCTGATCTTTGGCAACCATGGCAGATTTCTCCAACTTATTCCGTAGGCACGATATTTGTTTAATCAAATCCAAGGCCACTTCTTCAGCATCTTGCATCTGATTTCTTGAGAATTCGAATGACCTCTCAGCGTGAAGCCGGAACGAAGAACAGTTTAAACAAGTACAAATACCTCTGCATCCACGTGGATTTCGTTTGAGGATTCGCTTTTGAAGACTAGCAGACTGCATTGCAGGTGTTATAGAGGCTTCAACTAAGTTGTCAGCTTCAATTTGCCTTTCATGGTTTACACATTTCTCTGTAGACTTTATGCAGTCCTCTTCAGTTTCAAGAGGTAATTGACAAACCGTCAATTTAGCATCTTCTCGTGGCAATAAACCAGAATCGATAAGAGAGCTTGATGACATGACTGGCGACTCAACCACATCTTTAGGCCTAGATTCTTCCTTCCGATTTGTATCCGACGCAGAAGGTTTAACAAGCAGTGGGGGCTCCTGCCGTGAATCTATAATCATTGGGGATTCAGGTACTTGATTAGGAGACTGTGTAACTTTATGGTTGGATGAACACGTAGCCGTTGCTGTAACCGCAGGCAGCTTAATATCATCACCAGTATGATGCTCTACTGGATGACTTTCGCCATTGAAAGTTTCTGTGCATGTGTCTTTGCCTGAGGTAGAGAATGGCGAAAGCGGCTTTTCTTTGGAACATTTCTCAACTTTCAGCGACTGAATATTTCCCAAAGCACCTACTAAAGCATCAAAGAAAAGGGATAGAACTTAGAAATACTAAGGCTCATAGAATTATGTGAATTGGAGAGTTGAGGAGCACTCACAGGAGTTATGGCTTGTTATATTTATCAAATACGGAAGCAATCTTCTATAACTGAATGAACCCGTAATTTTCGATAACTTCAGATGCAAGTGCGGGTTTGGAACCTATTCAAAATTGCAAACTCAACAACATTAGCATAACATGTCTTTAAACATTCATCCTTAATTTTGATATGCGCCTATAGAGTTGATAAATCAGACACTGCATATAAACTACCATAGTCGGAAACACAGGAACGTTGATTGAAACTTACCATTTTGCTTTTAGGACTTGAGTCTGGATTTTTATTCAAATCCTGAGCATTGTTTCTGCATAATGTCTCATTTGTCGACTTTTGAGTAACTTGATCTATGGCCTGTGAAACATGATCCACTGTGTTGCTTTTGCTATCGTCGATCGCACACTTAGAGGGCATGTCTGAATCAGGCGGTGCAGTCGACATACATTCTCCATTCAAGTCTTTTTGTTCCAAGACTTGACCATCATTGTCACCACTCTGTTGTGAACTGCATTTTCTGTTCCCTCCCATTTCAGAGGATGTAGGATCCACAGCATTCAGGTGCTGACATTCAAAGGAGTCAAAAATGGTAGCTTTCAGCATCCATTCATTCTCCGACTTCTCAACGTCAGCTTTAGAACTTCCCGCAACTTTATAATCACAAGATTCAGGCTTATCATTAAGTGTAGACAAAGTCTGATCCAAAACTTCAAGACTTCCAGCATTGCAAGGATATTCAACATTAGGTTTTGCAACCTCACCATCCGTCATTGTTTTATTACCAGAAACCACACCAACTAAATTTTCCTGGTTGAAATGAGAACCCCCTATAGTTGATGAATCCTTTTTTGAGCAGTTCAAATCCTGGTCTTCACAAGAAGCTCGCAACTCGAGTTTCTGAATTTCTCCATTAACAAGTGGCATCGAGGAAGACTCATTTTCCGTTGAGACAAAGGACTCAACTGATGTTGCAATCGATGAATTACCAGAATCAGTGTTATGAATCTCCAAGGAGCAGCTAGTTGTCTTATCTGGCAATGTTTCTGGACCATTTGAAGCCGACAAATGCTTGTCTTCAAAACCCTTCTCGGAATTTCGACACTGACCCGATTGAGAACCTGTAAAGATCAAATACAAGAATGTTTGTCATAGTTTTAACTACACATTCCATTGCTTGAAATGAGAATATAAGCAAAGAGAAAACGAGCAGGGGATTTACCAGAACTGCCTTTTTCGATATCCATCAAATAAGGAAGCAATCTTCTGTAGCTGAATGAGCCTGGCGTTTTGAAAAGCCTCGCACGAGAGCATGGTTTAATAACCTAATCCACGACACATAAGCAACCAGCATTACTAAACAAAATCACCAAGAATTATTTAGGCATCAATAATCAAGTTGAATGTAATACAAGCCATATAAAGCTCGAACTTGACTCGAAGTCGGCAACTCGAAACTTCATCATTGTTCAATGTCGATAGATAAAGTGATAAAAACTGGATTACATGAGTTCGCTAAACGAAGCTTGTCATATACTACTAGATTATAGTGTTAAGATGCTCAAACTCGATTACCTCGATAACAAGTAAAAAAACAGCATTCAATTTGAAAAGGAAATTCCAAAAACTAGAATTAAAACTAATAGCAAAAGTGTCAACCAAACTTCAAATTAAACGAAAAAGAATAATTCATATTAAGATCTTACTGATTTCATCGAATAACCCATGCCCTTTTCACATTGCTTCTTCTCTTTTTGATCTGAGAATTCGATTCCATTTCTTTCCACCGCCGGTTCAACTCCAAAGATCTCAGCATCAGGTGGAGTCGACTGCACAAAATCTTCGTTCGAAACATCCAACTTTTTGAAACCCCCATTTTCAAAGGGCTCCCGAGCAATCTTATTGGCGTAAGAGGGAGAGACGGCACGTGTTAAGCGTAGATCTTCGATGTAAACGGAAGATGAATTGTATCCCACCGGTGAACCTTCATCTGGTGAGTTATTTTTTACTTTCTTGACAAAGGGTTGCAGATCATAGTGGCTTCTTGCGCTTTTAACCTGGGATTCGATACGACTAAAGCCTCCCGTTAACGAACGGGTTATCAGAAGGGATCGTCGCTTCCGCTTCATAGAGATTTGCTTTAGATCCGCCATTGATGAAACCCTCAGCTGCAAACTGTGAATGAAAGAGAAGGAGAAGATTGAAAAGGTGGCGGCACAGCCGAGATGATAACTATAAGCATAAGAATGGCGGGAAAGACATGGCTGAATATTGGCGGGAAATAATATGGGTTTGGGCCTTACAATTTATGGGCTACTTCCAACTTTAATGGTTTAATACCTTTAGGGTGCGTTTGGTTCACGGAATGTAAGATTACCAGTGAGAATAAAAGATTACCAGCGAATAGGATTACTGGGAATGTTGTATTTTGTGTTTGGTTGGTTTAGCAGGAATGTAAGATTACCGTGTTTGGTTAAAGGAATAAAAGATTATTGGAATGTATATTTGACCAAATTGTCCTTATTATATATTTGTATAATATTACAAATTGTAAAATATTTATATATTTTCTTTAAAAAATTAAATTCATAATATTTATATAATTTTTTTTACAAAATTAAAAATATAAAAAAGGTTTAATGAAATGGTAAATTTTTTTAATCCCTGAACTTCATATAAAATTTTAATTATAGAATTTTTTTTGTAAATCTAAAATAATTTAAGGATAAATTTGTAATTTAACCTTCGTAGAATTTTTATTATTCAATGATAGAAGAAGGATATTTTTGAAAAAAAATAATAATTTAAGGACATTTTAGTCCAAAACGCCGGTAATGTTACAATACCTAAGGGAAGGGAGGTAATGACATTCCCAGTAATATACCCAAAAAAATCTACTATTGGTAATAAAACATTATCGGGAATGAGATTCCCGGCCAACCAAACATGGGAATGTGAGATTCTCATCCCATGAGAATCCCACAATCCTTGAACCAGACACCCCCTTAAGGTTTTTAGCTCATGTTCGAAACACTCTCATGAACTCCTTCTATACACTACTTTCCTATGTTAATTGTTTTCCCTCCAATCCAACCAATAATGACATGTGTCATTATTTTAGTGAGTTAAAAAATAATTAAATTAAATAAATGTAAATTATAAAACAAATCCTTCAGTAAAATAGTGATACATGTTAAAATATAATTAGATGATTAAATTATTAAATTAAATTAAAAGTATGATCAAAATGATAGAATATATAACTATTAAGGATTAAATGTGGAATTATGTCAATTTTGTTAATTATCACGTCAACATTATCATTAGATATTAACGACAGGTGGCTTGATTGACAACAATTAAATAGTTAAGTTGTTTGATTCACAAAATTAAAAGATCAACGGTAAAAATAAAAAAGGCTAAATAGTTAAGTTGTCGAATAATAAAAATACTTTTTCTAATATTAAACCCTAAAATTTCATAATTAATTTTTCTAATTCAAACAAATAAATTGTCTATAACGATCTCTTAAATCTAATTTAATTTTATTTCGAGAGTATAAGAAGTTTGTGATATTATTGATTTAATAGTTTACGATATTAACGTGACAATTTATATATATGAATGATAATATAATATGAGAAATGAATTAATTCTCATAAAAAATTAGAAACCAATTTTTTAAAAAATATGAATATATTAAAATTAAATAATCATTTTCACACTAACCTAATAAAATATAACTTACAATTCAACACACCTAATTTTTTTCCACTTATTCAACCTAATTTAGCCCAACACTCACCCCATTATTAAAAAAATCATTTTCTCAATTTCTAAATATTAAAATTATTTTATATAATTGAATTTAAAAAGGATTTATTATGAATATATTAATTTAAGTAAAACCGAATTAATTTAAATTTATAAATAAATTGTTCAAAGTTCAACTTAAACAAAGCGGTGGTTGCGTTATGAAATTGTCGCATTTCATTACAAATTTCCAATTTTATTGTTACGTATGTCTATAAAAATGCCTTGTTTTTCTTCTATTTCAATTGACATTTTCAATTACGATTTTTTTCTTAAACATATCTTTTATTATTATTATTATTATCATTTTAATTAATCCAATTTCGTTAACTAAAAAATTATAATTCTTTTTTTTGTCGTCTGACTAACAAAATGTACAAAATGATCACCCGACTATTCATTATGTTTCAAATTTGTCTTTTTGGTTAAAAAATTGACGGTGGTTGTAGTTGGACGTTAACCTGCTGATTGTGATACGATAGTCGTTTGAGATTCTGAGTTCATATTATAACATATCTTAGTCAACATGTTAACATCCAACTCAAATTATCATCAATTTTTTAATGAAAAATGATGAGTTTGGAACACAATGAATAGTCGGGTGACTATTTTGTATCTTTTAATAGTCAAGAGACTTAAAAAGTAACATCTTATAATCGATGGGTTATTCTGTAACTTTTAATAGTCGGAGGACTTAATAAAATAACACTCTATAATCAGGGGACCATTCATATACTTTACCCAATTAAATTATCAAATTTAGAAATAATTAAAAATACAGAAAATATTATAAATTTAGAATAAACGCGTTTGAAAAGTTGAATTATTGTCTTATATATAATATTTAAAATATTTGATTGAATTAATTTTTAAATAGACACCTTTGTTGAGTACCATTTAAAGAAAGAACATAATTATTTAAAAAAAATATTTAATAAAAATAAATAACATATAAAAATTGATCTGTATATTGCCTATAAAGTAATATTTTAAAAAATATATTTTTCTTAATGTAATAAAAATATAATGAATTAAAAATAGAACTAATAAAATTTATTTTTCCATTAACGTTTTACTCTCATCTCTCCGAGTATTCTCTTCTACGTGGAAAAAACACGGTTCTCTGTTCATTTCGCCATTGCCGATCTTTTCAGTTCTTTTTAATCGCTGAAATCAAGAGAACGACGGCGAATAACGTTGTCGGATAATCAAAACCGTTTGTTTTATCGAAAAAAGGATGAAAAAGTCGGACCGCCACCATCACATCCTCCTCCGTCTCCTCATCTTATCAGCCGTCCTTTCCTCCGCCGAGGACGACAGTGCGGCGATGCAGAAGATAGCTTCCGGGTTCCGTAACGCACCCAAAGGGTGGTCGTCAACCTCGGTGACCAACTATTGCAACTGGCAGGGAATAAGCTGCGATAAATCCAACCGTGTCAAATACATCAGCTTGGCTTCCAAAGGAGTGTCGGGAACCCTCGCCACGGAGATCGCCAACTTGTCGGAACTCCGAGGCGTGTCGCTCCAGCGCAACTCTTTGACCGGAAACATCCCGTCGTTCGGCAAGTTATCGAACTTGCAAAACCTTTTCCTCGATTTCAATGGCTTCACTTCAATCACACCCGACGCATTCGCCGGATTATCAAGTATCCAAACGCTGAGTTTCGGCGAAAACCCGACGCTCAGTCCCTGGACTTTCCCGAACGTATCGGCATTAACAACCCTCGTCGAGCTCGGAGTCGGCAACACCAACATCTACGGTACATTGCCTGATATCTTCGGATCTTTAACCAGTTTACAAACCTTAAGAGCATCGTACAACAATTTGAACGGCACATTACCGGCTTCCCTCGGTGGTTCAATGATTCAAAAACTATGGATCAATAACCAGAACACCGGGTACGGTTTCACTGGAACTTTAGATGTTTTATCGAGTATGACACAGTTGGCTCAAGCTTGGGTTCATGTCAACTCGTTCACCGGTCCGATCCCAGATTTGTCTAAATGTAAAAGTCTATTCGACTTGCAGATTAGAGATAACCAGTTAACAGGGCCGGTCCCGGAATCGTTGTATAATCTTTCGAGTTTGAAGAATGTTTCATTGAACAACAATAAATTGCAAGGTCCTTTCCCTAAGTTTCCTACCACAGTTGAGAATGTTCAAGTCACTGGTAGCAACAATTTCTGCAACACCAATGGTGCTCCTTGTGATCCTCAAGTCTCGACGTTGATCGACATCGCTGGCGGTTTCGGGTACCCGGGTTTGTTATCGGATAGTTGGGATGGTAACGATGCTTGTCAAATGTCTTTCGTCACTTGTGATTCACAGAAGAATGTGATCACAGTGAATCTTGCGAAGAAAGGTTTGTCTGGTAAGATTTCACCTGCATTTGGGGACCTCAAGGCGCTGAAGAATCTGAATTTGAATGATAATAAGTTAAATGGTCCTATCCCTGATAGTCTCACTAAGTTAGCCAGTCTGCAACTTCTTGATGTGTCGAATAATAACCTTAGTGGTGATATCCCGAAGTTTTCGAATTCGGTTAAAGTCATTAGCTCGGGGAATAGATTCCTCGGAGAACTTGTCGTTAATTCAAGTGTCGGTTCCGGTTCCTACAGTTCTAAAGGCGGTGGTGGGCCTAGTCCGAGTAGTTCCAGTGGTGGAGGGACTCCGAATTTGACTGTAGGATGGACATCAGATTCAAATAAAGGAGGGACTTCTTCAAGTGGTGCAGGTTCAGCTGGTAATACTAATAGCACAGAATCCATTAAGATTGTCAAAGGTAAAACTTCCAAGGCTTTGATTGTAGGCATAGCGGTTAGTGCAGCGGTTTTACTTAGTATCATCTGCTTTGTTTCTTACAAATTCATCATGAAAAAGAAAGATGGGAAGCTCGGAAAGATGACGAAGAAGGACGATGCCGAGAAAGGTGTGGTTAAGTCGACTGTGGTAACCGGTGTTGGAAAGACCGACATCGAAAACCAAGGCCTTCCCAGTACTGATCTAAGCAGCAGCCAACATCTCTTCGACGGAAGAAACGTCGTGATCTCGATCAATGTTCTTCGAGAAGTGACTAACAACTTCAGTGAAGACAACATACTAGGCAAAGGAGGTTTTGGGGTTGTTTACAAAGGAGAGCTACATGATGGGACACGAATTGCAGTCAAGAGAATGGAGTGTGCTGACAAAGGAACAAAGGGAATGGATGAGTTCCAAGCTGAAATTGGTGTGCTTTCAAAGGTTAGGCATAGGCATCTGGTTGCTCTGTTAGGCTATTGCATCAATGGCAACGAGAGGCTCTTGGTTTACGAGCACATGCCTCGGGGTACGCTCAGCCAGCATCTCTTCGGATGGCGACGACACGAAGGCGGTTGTTCGCCGCTCACATGGAAGCAAAGGCTCATCATCGCGCTTGACGTCGCGAGAGGGGTCGAGTATCTTCATTCGTTGGCTCAACAGAGTTTCATCCACAGGGACTTGAAGCCTTCCAACATACTCCTTAGCGATGACATGAGGGCTAAGGTTGCCGATTTCGGCCTAGTTAAAAATGCACCAGATAGTAAACAATCTTTGGAGACAAGATTGGCTGGAACATTTGGATATCTTGCACCAGAATATGCTAGTATGTCATCCTCTTTTAAGTAATTTATGAACATATGCATGTATGTATGTATGTATGTATGTATGTATGAACATATATATTATCTTACATCTTGACAGCAACCGGAAGGGTGACAACAAAGGTGGATGTGTATGCATTTGGAGTGGTCTTGATGGAGCTAATAACCGGCAGAAAAGCATTAGATGAGTCCTTACCTGAAGAGATGTCGCATTTAGTGACATGGTTCCGTAGGGTGCTAATCAACAAGGACGAAGTCCCGAAAATGGTGGACAAAACAATCGAATGCGACGAAGACGGTGAGACGATGTCAAGCATTTTGAAGGTCTCTGAGCTAGCCGGTCACTGCACGGTTCGCGAGCCGTCTCAGAGACCCGACATGGGCCATGCGGTCAATGTGCTAAGCCCTCTAGTTCAGCAATGGAAACCGACGAGCCAGGAAGAAGACGAGACGGAGGTCGACTTGAGCCTTTCCGAAGCTCTACAAAGATGGCAGACTAGCGAAGGGACTTGGTCGATGTTCGGTGATACGTCGCTCTATGGGACGCAGACAAGTACCTCGGCCAGGGCCTCGGAACCGAAACCTACGTGGAGCTCGGATGATACCCGGTGATGGAAAATCAAAGAGGTATTTGAAAATGAAACCACAGTGACGAATTGGAGAAACGCCATGTTTGTGAATTTAAGTTGATAGCAAACATTATTGATTCAATTTGATCTCTTCGTTGTGCTAAACCTAAGCCAATAGAGCTATTGTTTTTTGTTTTCCTAATTCTTCAAAATTAGCTAACCCATTGTTAAATTGTATTTTTTTAGCATTTTGCTAGTAATGTTTGATCAACGTTATTTGGATTTAGATATAAATTTTATACTTAATCATAAGCGATTGATACAAGTATTTTTAAGATTTTTTATCATGTTAAATAACATAAATTGATAATTTATCAGTTGCTTCGTATTCGGATTCAAATTATCTTAAGAGAAGACATTACTCTTTACCACTGAAATCGTTATTTAGACTAATTTGAGGTTAACGTAAATTAATGTAACACATTAATCGTCAGTATTATATTCATATAATAATGTGTTATTTTATGTTATAATTTAACTATTTTTTCTCGTGTGGCTTTAATACCGTTAAATCATGTTTAATTGGCCAAGCAAGGGTTAACTACCCTTCTTGGGGGCACTTGCCCCTCTTCTCTTTGAGCGATCTGTGCTACTTTCTACTTAATTCATCCATGATCTTGGGGCCTCTCTTCTCTTTAAAAGCTCGCCACTTTTGGGGGCCAAAATCATTACATTATACAATTCAAAAACATGGCTCTTCTTCCTCTCCTGCTCTCCTCTCTCCTTGTTGTCTCTTGTAAGTTCCTTAATCCCATACATAATGTATGTATGTATGTATGTGTATGTGTTAGTTCAATTGCTTTCTTTTGTGCTTAAACAGTGGCAGAAATGTCCGGAAAGATCGGGATAAACTACGGCCGAGGAGGGCATGATTTGCCGTCACCGTACGAATCTATTCAAATCATGAAATCCAAGATCCATGATCCATGTTGCCGTTACGATTCCTAATGACGATTTGATTCGGATGGATTCGAATGAAACGTATGCAGAACAGTGGGTCAGGAACAGTTTCGTACCTTTCTATTCGAATACCCTGATACGGTTCGTGTTGGTCGGAAATGGAGTCCTCGATTCCAACTTAGACGGTGATCGGATCGCGTTGTATGATTCCCTTCTGTCTGCAATGCGTGGAATTAAGAATTCCTTGAATGCTCACGGTATTAGGAACGTCAAGGTGACTACGAGGCTTGCAATGGATGTGCTGCAGACGACTTTCCCGCCTTCGAACGGTACTTTTCGGTCCTATATTTCGGGTACCATGATGCCGAGGATGTTGAAATTCTTGAACCGGACCAAATCGGTTCTTTTCCTCGACGTTTACCCTTATTTCGTGTGGTCCGCTAATCCGAAAAACATTAGCATAGACGTCGCTCTTTTAAGAGGAAACCTAACGCAAACCGACCCCGGAAGTGGACTAGCGTACGCAAACCTCCTAGACCAAATGCTCGACTCGGTCACATTCTCCATCGAAAAGATTGGATTCCCCAACACCCGGTTAGCGATATCCGGAACCGGTTGGCCTTCTGGGGGGAGACATCGATCAAATCGGTGCAAATATCTACAATGCAGCCACTTACAATCTAAACCTAATCCGAAAAATAACATTGAACCCGCTACCGGGGACCCTAAAAGTCCCAGTGTGATCGTACCCACATTCATTTCCTCCCTATACGAAGAGAACCACAAGATAGGTCCAGGAACAGAGGCATTGGGGATTGCTACATGCGAACGGAACATCGGTCTACGAAATCGGCCTCACTGGGAGCCGTAATATGTCGGGCTACAAGCCACTGCCACCGGCCAAAAACAACGAGCCGTATAAAGGGAAAGTTTGGTGCGAAGCGGCGCCGTGGGCCAACGAAGTGAGCTTGCCATCAGCATTGTCCAATGTGTGCAGCACTGATAATCAAACTTGCGCGGCATTGGCACCTGGGGGAGAGTGTTATGAGCCAGTATCAGTTGTTTGGCACGCAAGCTATGCTTTTGGTTCATATTGGGCAAAATATCGAAGCCAGTGGGCAATTTGCAGCTTCAATGGATTAGCTCGAGAAACAACTGTCGATCCGAGTAAATTCTCGATGAATATTTCAATCTTATCCGAACCCGAATTTTATTCGATAATTTAATCTCGACTTTGATTTTACTTAGACCCCAAAATAATTAACCTAATTTTTTGAACTTTAGCAGGTCGTGGACGCTGCAATTTCCCAAGTGTAATACTGTGAAGAAAGATCGGAAGCTGCAATGACACATTCTAGGAAAGCTGGTCTTAATGTTTCTTCTTTTTATAATTTAAATTGTTATTTCCAATTTTTCTAAGGGGATAACTGTAATTTTCTAACATCTAAAATAAAAGAAATGAATTGCTTATTTCTCGTCCAAAATTGGTGAGTTGTACGTTAACTTGTTAATTGAGATATAATAATATTCAATCTCATAATAATTTGAGTTGTATTTTATGGATCAAATCTTTGTTTATATTATGTCGTCAAGCTAATACTTGAAATATTATATTGTCGAGTCAGTGTTTGAAAGCAACGACAATATCAATAGATATAATTAAAATATGATTTTATCATATCATGTCAGTATGTTAACGTCCAGCTAAGTCGACCATCAATTTTTAGTTGAAAATGATGAGTTTGAAACATATAAATAGTTGAATGACCATTTTTTAACTTTCAATAGTAATTGGACTCAACAAAGCAACATCATTCCTATAATCGATGAACTCAACAAGGTAATATCATTCTTATAATCGACGAACTCAACAAAATAACACACTATAATAGAGACCATTTATATACTTTACCCTAAATATTAGGGTAAACTACACATTTAGTATGTAAAATATCAGTTTTAGTTTGTTTTAGTACCTAAACTTTCAATTTTTTCAAAATCATACCTAACGTGTAGTTTACATTTCATTTTAATACCCTGCAGTTAAAAACCTAACGCGTGTAGTACATAAACTATCAGTTTTAGTGCCTAAACTTTCATTTTTTTTCAAAAAAAATGGCTGTCCCTTTTCCCATATATACGAGGTAAGGGGGAGGTAAGAACGAACTAAAACTGGTAATTTAGGTACTAAACCCATAATTTCCCATGATGTAAATTGTCCATCAAATTCAAGTAGATGAATGTGACTGAACAATTCTTAATGTTATTATATTTTATTTATAAGATTCCAATTTCAAACTTTACTCAACAAACATTAAATTCCTTTATGTCTTCAACCTCTAAATCATAAATATAAGTAAACATGGTTGAGATGTAAGGCTTCACTCAGACCTTCAATTCCCACCATGGACTGGACATGTACAACTATTGCAGTTGCTGCACTTATCTTCTTCTTTCAAGTATTGTCATGGAAAATACGGGCTAAGAATAAGAGATTACCACCATGTCAAAGAGGCCTCCCGATTCTCGGAAACCTTTTGACGATAGGCGGCAACCCGCACCAACATCTTCGACGATTAGCCCTCAAGTATGGCCCCATCATGCGCTTACGCTTCGGTTTGATGCACGTAATCGTCGTCTCGTCCCCCGAAGCAGCCAAGCTATTCCTCAAGACACATGACCTTGTTTTCGCTAGCAGGCTGCCTCACGAGGCTTCCAAGTACATCAGTTGCAATCAGCAGTACGTTATGTTCTCGCCGTACGGCTTGTACTCGTGCAACATGCGCAAGATGTGCACCTTGGAGTTACTTAGTAACCACAAGATTAGTTCTTTCGGGTCCATGAGGAAACAAGAACACGATCTCTTGGTTCATCGGATTCGAGAGGCTGCTGCTTCTGGTATTGCTGTTGATCTCAGTTCTGAAGTCACGTCTCTTAGTACCGATGTCGCTTGTAGAATGATCATCGGAAAGAAATATAATCGTGACGATTTCAGCAAAAAAGGGTTCGATGATTCGATCCGAGAGGGAATGCAGGTAGCAGCTGCGTTTAATCTAGCCGATTACATCCCTCAAATTAGAGGACTTGATCTTCAGGGGCTAACAAAGCGCATGAAGACCATTGCCAAGGATTTTGATGACTTCTTTGAGAAGACAATTGAAGAACATGTTCAATCTAAAGATGAAAACAGGGTCAAGGACTTCGTTGATGTCATGCTGGGATTCGTGGGATCCGAAGAAACTCATGAGTACCGTGTTGATCGAGACACTATCAAAGCAATCATCTTGGTACTCTTCTATATCTCAATCCGGTAGGATCATTGTTGGTCCCGCATGCAGCAAGGGAAGATTTCTCGTTGAACGGCTTTCACATACCGAAAGACGCCCGCATCTTGGTAAACGCATGGGCAATAGGACGGGACGAAAGGGTTTGGACCGACACGAAGAAGTTCTATCCGGAGAGATTCGATGGAAGTGACATCGATGTTCGAGGACAAAACTTTGAGCTGATACCATTCGGTTCCGGTCGCAGAGGATGCCCCGAAATGCAACTGGCACTCGGCGTCGTTCGGCTCGTGGTGGCTCGGTTGGTTCATTGCTTTGATTGGGAGCTTCCAGATAATATGTCGGCAACTGAATTGGATATGAGTGAGGAGTGTGGACTTAACAAGTGACTTTATCGAAATCGCATCCGATCTCTCAATCTGTTCGAGAAGATATATATAGTGAGTTAGTGACTACACGTGTGTCAGTCGTAGAATATGATAACTAATTGTATGCCAGCAAAATAAGTTTGATTCAAATTCGAAACCGTGAATTAAAGCTCGTAAAAGTTCAAAATGAAAAAAATATATATACTAAATTTAACTTGATTGAGATATAAGCTCAAACTCGAATCTGAACATTAAATACATAAAAACTTTATACTGCATTTTTTAAAGAAAAATCAACACATAAATATTAATATTATTGATAATTTAAATTTAAAAAAAAAAAAAATCTTAATATATTATATTTTCGAATTGCTCGGGAGTTTTTCGAGTCAAGTCGATGTGGTTTTTCGAATAATCATCTTAACTATACGCCTAACATCAACACTAAAAGTTATTATAAAATCGTTAATTGGTTATAACTTTCTGTCCAAATCAAAAGCGGTGAATTCTCAACGGCCCACATTTTGTTCAACAATTAGTGTGATAAGCATAAAACACATCCCGATAAAAAATAATAAGCCAAGATGAAACCTCTCACCTCTTACTCAAACATCTTAAGTCCACAACCTATCAACATATATAAAAGTTTACTAATGTCGTAAAAATATAAACACCTAATTTAAATGCAAATGTGAAGTAAAAATATAAACACCTAATTTGGATTAAAAAAAAAGTTTGGATATCAACAACAAAATAGTATAATGTCAAAATTAGCCCCCCCAACGTTTACTAAAATAGTCATTTTATTTTCATTCTATTTTTTTTGGAGCATTTTAGCACCCTAACGTTTCATTTTATAGCAAAAAATCTCCTAATATTTGGCAGAATAATCCTTTATTCTTTTTTTTCTGAGATATTTTAACCATCAATGTTTCATTTTAAGTTAAAAAACTCTTATTTTGGAGCATTAAACGTATTTTTCATCTATACAAGAAGTTTTTTGTCCCAAAATGAAATGTTGGGTGCCAAAATGTTTAAAAAAAAGATAGACTAAAATGACTATTTTGATAAACTGTAGGGATAATTTTATGCCTATCAAAATATATATAGTTACCCTTCATTAATTCCCAAAAAAGGACACTAGTCCCTCGGATCACTTAGTGCAGTTGGGCCAACTGAAATGCTGTGGAGGTACAGTTTTGATCACCGGACTATATTCAAAGAAATTAGTAGGCTTAAGCTCAAACCCAACGCTCAACGTGGGCATCACCGGAAAATCTTCTTGGCAAGTCACATGGTGGAACCCCACGGTGTACCACACCACAATGTCCTTATTCTCGATGTTCCGATTCTTCTCCGTCCACACCGCTAGTGTGTCGTCTCCTCGACTTCGATCGACATATCGCCCGCTGACCCATTTCTCCGACTTGTTATACGGTGTCACCCACATGTTATAATTCGTGAATGCGGCTCGGATTTGCGGGAAGTCATCGGGGATGAGGAGTGGCCCGGCTGATGATCCAGGTACCAAACGGTACCCGACATTGTTCCCAAGTTTAGTCTCCTTGTTCGGATTAACCACTAGGAACTCTTGCGAGTTAGGCCCGAATTTCACCTTTGCATCGGATTCAGTTTTGGCTAATTCGTGTTCGAAGTTCCAATAACTCTTTCTCGGGATGTTCTTGTCCATGACCCGTTTGGTGATCAAATGGGTCTTCACGAAGGAATTAGCATCGCCGTCGACATCGACATCGAGATGGTATGTTAGAAAATGATCATGGCTCACGCCGATTGTATTGCCGGCTACCAATGTGCCATAAACTTCCTCTTTGATTTGGTCGGTCCGAGTGTAGGGAACTGCCTTCACTTGTAACACTCCGGTTAGACCAACCTGCATTGTTTTAAAATATATTGTTATTCAATAAGATTTCTTTCACTCCTTTGTACTCTCATCAAAATTTTATCCAAAAAAATTTATTATTTAAAAACAATAATATAAATATATTTTATAATTTTAAATATTATTTGATTTATTAAATACCATTTGAATCTTATTTATATATGTAAAAAATAATATATATATATATATATATCTTATATGAATAGAGAAAATCTTTATACCGAAATTAATATATACCATAAGATTATAAAAAAAATACAATTATAAATGAAAAGTACCAAAAATTTAATGGATCCACTTGGTTTGAACTCCCAATCAAAGACATAATCATAGTTGGCCACAGTCGCAACCATTCTCACCACGATGCTAATATCTGGTCTCGTTTCTCTGATCTGCAACATCAAAGTACCAAATTAAACTTATCGGGACGGAATTAGGACCAAACATTAAGAGATATTAAACTTTATTTGACTAATATACCTTTCGATCGGCATCATTATGTCGCCACATTACATCGCCGGAATGTCTTTCGAATATGCACATTGCGTTCGGTACTTCCACGGGTCTACCATCCGAGGCTGCGTAGTAACCGTCTACAAAGACTGCACGGGATGGACAATCGTTGAGGGGCTCCAACGAGATCGCAAAGTTTCCGATCCCGTATTCCCCGCTGTCGAAGATTGTCGTGCGGTACCACCCTTCTGTCGGATCCTGATACGGTACGAAGAGTTCGGAGATGAACGATCGATACATGACTTGTCGATATTTTTTCTGTTCTGCATCGTAGATGGAAGCTAGAGAGATCACCGGACCAACTCGAGCATCAAACGCTACATGGAACCTCCAATTCGCCCAAGTGACCACGTTTCCGTCAAGTTTGAACCCTATTTGGCCCGGCGGCTTCGGCGGAGCGGCATTGAAACGTGGACCGAAAGGTGGCGTTATCTTTGACGCTCGATAATCAGTCCCCTCGGCTTTCGGCAACGGAATCACGGCCCGGTCGACGTATTCGGATATCCTCATTTGTTCGATATCGGCAACTATAGTTATTCCTTCTATAGGCCTCAAATAGAAATTGACCGTCCCATTCAAATAGAAACACTTTACTTGCAGCTCACGCTTCGTCTTCACTTGTCCATACCAACCGATAGTCAAACTTAAGAAAGAAACTTCGGATATATTAAGCCCCCGTCGTTTAATCGACGCTAAAAACGGTCCATGTTTAAGGGCTAAATCCGCAGCCGCTTCTTGGTCTTCCGCGGTGAGTATCGGGTACCCGAATCCCTCGTAGAGTTTATCGGAAACGACGGCGCGTCTCGATAAATCAACGACAAGTTCACGAGTTTGGTTTTCGAATCTGAGAACGACCAATGCTTGGCGAGGTGGGGGTTTGGAGGAGGGTTTCGATAGCCATGATTTTACAGCTTGCTTTTCTGGTTCCTCTAACCCTACGTATTGGAAGCTTAGCTTGTGGTTGAAGGAAGGGTAAGACTGATTCACGATGGCTCGAACCAGGAGGAACTCGGAGGAAGTGAGTGAGTCTAATGGGTGGGGATTCGAGGTGACTCGGGATAGGAAGAAGATATTGAAGATGGAGAAAATTAGTGTTGTTTTCAATGGTGAAGCCATTGTTGATTCTTGAAAACCTTGAGCTTCAAATTTCCCTTAAATAGCCAAAAATATAATGCAACTTAGATTTTCCTTAAAATATTAATTATATAATCTACTTATTTAGTCCCCTAACTATCATTTTAGTTCCATTTTGGTCACTCAATTTTTTTTCAAAATCATCGTTAACCTTATAATTTCGTTTCATTTTGGCGGCCCATTATTAAAAAATGAACAGAATTGTTGATCTGGTATTTTTTTATTTTTCAATGATGACATAATATTATCTTATCGTGGAATTCAGTACCTTGTTATTTTTATTGACGACTGACGAAAATAAGACAAAAATATAATACTAATGATGATTTTAAAAAAATAGTTGAATAACTAAAACAGAATCAAAGTGATAGTTGTGACTAATACCGTAAATTGACCCAACTCGATCGAATACTCCCCCTACTCAAGGGATAGCCATCTCATCCGGACCCGCCCCAATCGGATTGGTTTTTTATTTTGGAAAGTAGGGTTTGGGTCAAGTTTTTTATGGTCGGTTTGATTCGGGGTTATGGTGAAGAAAATATGACCGACATAATATTATAACTATTTTTTTATATATATTTAGGGATAGTTAAAATAATATTTTTTTAATTAAATTCTTATTTTATCGAGTCGTATGAAACTCTCTTAAACCTGGACCAAATTAGATACGGGTGAAAAACTTTAATTTTCAAATTAAATTCATATAGACGAAAAATCAATCTTCCCTAACTGAAACTCATCACCCAGGACGTGAATTATGAAAATAAACATCCTTATCAATAATTTAGTTTAGGGTAAATTATATGTTTAATATATAAACTATTAGTTTTAGTCTGTTTTAGTAATTAAATTTTTAATTTTTTAAAACCATGCCTAAAATTTAGTTTTTTTTTTCATTTTAGTATCCCGTTCAAAATTTAATGTTAATTTTTGGGAAAAAAAAATGAAAATTTAAGTACTAAAACGGGTTAAAACTGATAGTTTAGGTACTAAACGCATTAAGTTTTTAACGGTGTGTACTAAAATGAAATTAAAACTAAACATTACATATGATTTTAAAATAATTAAAAATTTAGGTACTAAAATAGATCAAAACAGATAGTTTTAGATACTAAATCCGTAGTTTATTCTTTAATTTATATCCACGTCAAAATAAATTAATAATATAAAATAACAATTGTAGAAGAAATATGCTCTTTACCCTATTTAATTAATAGTTTATTTGATCAAAAGCGGTTCTTAATACTTGGGCAGAATGAGTGAATTATCGGTAGTGGGCCAAATATATTTCGTCGTGGACATAACGAGTTTTAATTAAAAATATTTTATTTGAAATTTTAAAAATCATTGTAAATATATATTTCTTAATGGCCACGGAACTCATCATACCGGCGTGACCGTTGGCCAACACTCATTTTTTTTTAATTCAAGTGACTATTTTGAGAGATGATTTTAGTATAAATAGGGATTTAGGGTGAAGGTTTTGATGTATGAGAAGTGAGAGAGAAAAATTGAGACTATCAAATAACGTGGCCGTGGGAATTTTTTTTGTATGATTTGGCGAACGGTGTTCATGGGTTTGATAACACCGACTCGGAGATCGACAATTTGGATTCAAGCTCTTCTTCAAATGAAGAGTGGGAAAAAGAGACAATAATTTGAGAAATTTTGAATATGATTTGGCGAACGGCGTTTTGATAGACCTGGTTCTCTTTGAGGATCATCCATATCGGTATGAATTCAGCTAGTTCAGGTTGACCCTTAAACGAATGTCTCGTTCTTCTTGATACAATTTGAAAATTAATTAATTAATAAAATTATATAAATAATTATTACTAATACTATAATTTTTTCAAAAGTAAAATAACAACAACAACAACAACAACAACAAAACCCAATTCCCATATGTATGGGGTAAGGGGGAGGTAGGGTAGTAGGCTACCCCCAACGCCAGGTTGAGAGTAACTTCCGTGGAAGACCTCCGGCAGTCAGAAAATTAAAAATTTAGATAAAATGCAATGCATGTATAAATAAATACATAAATACATAGCTAAACAGTATTCATATGCAGTCATTAAAATCATATGTGCGTCTGTTACGGGAATTAATCCCTGCATAATTATCCCTGCGAAAGAATCTCTGCATATAGACATAAACATAAGATAAGATCCGGCTAAATTTAAAAGAGGAAACATGAAGAGAATGATACACAGAAGTAAACGTTAGCAAGCCCAGTTCTAATCCTTCATAAATACCAATAACAGAAACGTATAAAAAGTATAAGTCATGGAAAATACTACAAAGACATTAAAAGAAGACAGAGGTGATACACCATATAGATGTGACCCACACTACTCGACTACCCTAGTCTTTAGCCTCCATATTTTCCTATCAGAGGTCATGTCTTCGGTAAGGGCTAAATCCCTCAAATCAGATCTCAAGCAGTCTTCCCACTTTCGCCTTGGTCGTCCTTTCCTTCTGGCACCGTCGACTGTAATCGACTCTACCCTCCTTACCGCATCCGACGGTAGTCGCCTAAGGACATGCCCAAACCACCGTAGTCTTCCCTCCCTCAATTTTTCGGAAACAGACACCACCCCCAAGGACATCCTAATAGCAGAGTTTGTCGTCATATCCCTCAGAGTCTTACCACATGTCCATCGAAGCATTCTCATTTCTGCGGCCTCAATCCTCCTTACGTGATCCTTCTTGGTTGCCCAACATTCTGATCCATACAACAGCGCTGGTCTTATTGCCATTCTATAAAATTTTCCCTTAAGTTTTAGAGGGACCTTCTTGTCACACAGAACTCCAGTAGCGGCCCTCCACTTTAGCCATCCCGCCTTTATACGGTGTGTAACGTCATCATCTACACCCCCATCTTTATGTATCATAGTCCCTAGGTACTTGAAACAATCCTTTGAGGGGAGAACGTGTCCTTCTATGCATACTTCTACATCTTCATCGTTTTGGTTCCCATTGAAGTTTGAACATAAATACTCTGTCTTTTCAATATTGATCCTTAAACCTTTTTCTTCCAAAGCAGTCTTCCAGGTAGCCAGTCTACTATTCAACTCAGATTTTGTTTCAGCAACTAAGACAATGTCGTCAGCGAAAAGCATACACCATGGTACACCGTCTGGTGTCGCACAATAGATGTCGTCCATGATCAAGGCGAAGATGTAAGGGCTAAGAGCCGACCCCTGGTGGAGTCCGATTTCCACCGGGAATGCCTCGGTGTCGCCAACTGTAGTCCTGACGTAAGTAGTAGATCTACAGTACATATCACGAATCGCCCGGATATAACCAAATTAAATTTACCGTAGTCAACTCGGTTGACAAAATATAAACATCATCAAGACGTAACATTTATTCTCTTGAGGTCATTTCAACACAAAATCTTCAACAAAAATTTTTTTACTCTCAATAGAATGTTTGATTCCAAGTAAAAAAATCAATACAATACAAACCTCTATTTATATTACTATATTCAACGGCTATAGACGACTAGTTCCATTGAATTTAAAAAAAATTGATCATTGGCCAACGATTGAAAATTTAAAATTTTTACATGTTGGAACTTGTCACACTGGTGTGACGAATCCCGTGGCCATTAAAATTATATATATATTAATAGAGACTCGTCATACCTACGTGATAAATCCCAGAAAAATTATTAAATATATTCGACCTGTAGAACCCACATCCCAGGGCCCATTTAAAAATAATTTCCCACCTAACTACGAGTTTCAACTACACTGTAAATTTTACCGAAGATCTCAAATTAAAAACCGAGTTACCCTATAGGCTAAATAATCAGCCCGCTGCCAATATTTGCCTAATTCTGCCTCATACTTGCAGTCAATGATCAATTTAGAAAACACGTGACAAAAAAACGAAATTATTTATTAACTTAGAAAAAATACAAGAATTTAAATATATGAATTAAATTATCGAATTAAATGTATTACAGGGACTAATACCATAAATTGACCTATTTGTTTTCATATTTTATTTATTGGTTTAATTCTAAAATAATAACTTTCATTTCAGTTTTTTTTATTTTTTATCAGTAATTTTAAAAACATTACATTTTGATCATTTATATGATCGACATATTAAATTTTAATCATTTATATTATAGTTGTTATATTTTGGGTCATTAAGTCCTCAATTCTCGTTAGTTTAATGACTTAATAAGTTAGTAAAAGAGATTATTTTTTAATTTAATATATGAACTTTAAATAAAATACTAATTTGATCATTAAACTTCTGATATAATATTAACTTGACCCTTAACTTCGACCAAAATCTTAAGTCATTCACCGTCGATCGCCATCATCGTCGTTTATCACAGTCAATCTCATTAACCGATGTTATCAACAACCATTAAATCTCTAAATTTTCAATTTACTTAATTTCATATTAGGATATCTTTAACTTAAATGCTTCATAGATATTAGGTGTTTAAATGGTTTGGATATATATATATATATAACCAACAATTGATTGGTTTAATGAGATGAGGTATTATATCCTTTAAGTAAGGTCAGGAGTTCGAACTCGGCGATTACGAATAAAGCAAACTGGATTGAAAGGGTCGCCCTCGCCACTACAATACTCGATCCGGATTAATTGATCAATAGATCGAAACCCGTTGTTTATATATATATATATATATATATTGATATATAGGTTAAACTTTTGAATAAAATATTTATATTAGTGTAGACTTAGTATAACTGCATTTTATTTATATTAATGCGTGTTTGGCATAATTACCTAATTTTTAATGAAGAAATAAAAACTTAACTTTTAATTAAATGAGTGGGGAAATCATATAGCTTAAAATATAGTATGAATATAATAAAATTTACGTAATATATATATTATTTTAGGGTAAATTACTCATTTGGTACCTAAGCTATTAATTTTGGTTCATTTTAGTATCTAAATTTTCAATTTTTTCAAAATCATACCTA